AGAATTTTTCATGTTATCATAAGTTGTATTTTAAATTTTATTTTTAACCATTTGTTGCTGGTGTACAGAGACACAATTTAATTTTATATTTGTCTTAGATCCGGTTAGCTTGCTGAACTGTCAGTGTTTTCAGTAATTTGTTTAGAAATTTCTATGTTGACAGATCGGCAACAATATTGTTTCTTCCCTTGTGGTTATTTTATTTGAAAATTTTCACGTATTACCGTAGTGAAATATTCTAGTGTCACCATGAATAGATGTGGTTGTCATGGGTATTTTTGTCTTACTCTGATGTTAAAGAGATTCCATTATGCATATTTGTTGACATTTTTAGGCTTTAAAAGAAACCTTTTTTCAACCTAGGCTGCCCTGTAGATGCAGGGGTTTTGCTTTGGTTTTAGTGGTAGTTTATTTTTTATCGTTCATCAAAATTTATTAAATAATTTTCTTGCATTTGAGACATTTAAAAATTTTTTAAGTCATTTTATTGGGGGCTTGTACAACTCATCACAAGCCATCCATCCATCCATCCATTGTGTCAAGCACATTTGCACATATGCTGCCATCATTTTCAAAGCATTTTCTTCCCACTTGAACCCCTTATATATCAGCTCCCCATTTCTTCCCCTTTTCTCTCCCAGAGATTTTCTAATATTGAACCTCCCTATCTTTTTAGGAGGATTTCTGGGATTTTTCCAGTTTATGATATTTTAAAGACATTGCTTAATTTGGTTTGCTAATGTGCTCATGAATAAGATTGCCTTATTTTCTTGTAATGGACATTGTGGTTGAAATTACTGGTTTTTGTTTGTGGGGGGATGTTTTGTATTTTCTAGTGGTAGTTATATAAGATTGCACTGACTTTTCCTTGAGAGTTTGGTTTGTCATTCCTGTATGGAAAGATTAATTAATGATGCCTTTTCTTTAATTTTCATTTTAATAGAGAAACTAGCATAAAGAACTCCCATATACTATTGTCCTGTTTCAAGTTGGCTAGTATTTTATCACCTCCCCCCCCCTTTTTTTTTGGCTTTGTTTTGGGAGTGTCTTAAAGCAAATCCCAGACACATTATTTCACCAGAAATTATTTGGTACACAGTTCTCAGTAAAAAGGATTTATTTTTAACATTATCCTAGTCAACAAAATTAAGCCTCTTAATATTATTATAGTAATATTACTCAGCCTGTATATCTATTCTGATTCTTTTTTACAAATGTCTTTTTAAAGTAGCTTTGTTTAATCAAGACCCAAATAAGACTGATTGTTGAATCTCTTGTTTGATAACAGCCCCCTTTTCTTTCATCCTCCCCTGTTCACAAAAGCCATTGATTTGTTGGTCAAAGGCCATTGCAATGTTTAGCCTATGTAATTTTTTTTCTTTTTCCTGTAAATTAGGTGGGGGGGGGGTGTTACATTTCAGACCATCCACTTTTTCTTTTTAATCATTTTATTAGGGGCTCATACAACTCTTATCACAATCCATACACACATCAATTGTGTAAAGCGCATTTGTACATTCATTGCCCTCATCATTCTCACAACATTTCCTCTCCACATAAGCCCCTGGTATTAGGTCCTCGTTTTTCCCCTCCCTCCCCGCTCCCCCCTCCCTCATGAGCCCTTGATAATTTATAAATTGTTATTTTGTCATGTCTTGCCCTATCCGATGTCTCCCTTCACCCACTTTTCTGTTGTCCGTCCCCCAGGGAGGAGGTCACATATAGTTCCTTGTAATCGGCTCCCTCTTTCCAACCCACTCTCCTTCTACCCTTCCAGTATCGCCACTCACACCACTGGTCCTGAAGGGATCATCCGCCCTGGGTTCCCTGGGTTTCCAGTTCCTATCTGTGCCAGTGTACATCCTCTGTCAGACCATCCACTTTGTATTCAACAGTTTAAACAACTAGCCAGACCCCTCAATAGTTTACCTTTCTTCATAATTTCTTTTTTATTAAGATTTGGTAAGTATATTCTCAGAATTTTTTGTTTTGTCTGTATTCTAATTTATTTAATTTTGGTTTGGGTAAAATCATATATAGCGAGTTAGTTTTCCATTCAGTATTTCAACATTTTTTGTTTGGTGGCATTGTAATTCCTTCAGTGTAGCAGCAGTTTTCCAACTTACTTCCTGGGTTTCTCTGTTTCTAGTCTCCTCCGTTTTCCTGAGCTTTGCTTTTGGGAGAATGCGGCTTTTGGTTCCTGTGTGGTTGGTGGTATTGAAGTGACAGGTATTGTTTATAAGTCGGCCTGCTGTTTTGCTAAAAGGTGGTCCTCGAGAGTGGGTTTGGTTCTAGATTTGGACGGTGTTTAAGGGCCACAATCTTAGAGGATTCCACTAGTCTTTCTCACACCAGTAACATCTGATTTTTAAAATTATGTTCTATGTATTGCTCACACTGCAGGGCCTTCTGTAGTGATCCCAAATACAGTCAGTTTGGTAACTGGGTCACCATCTATTTCTGGTCTCAGGGTAGAAGAGGCTTTGGTTTGAGTCGTCTTTCCTTTAGTCTTTTGACTGCTTTTGAGTTACTGTTTTTATTCACTCTTCTTTACTCTGGTTGTTTAGGCAGGTGGTGGGGTCGAGTGAGCGACCAATTGTTGATCTTATATAACTGCTCACAAGCTTTTACCACCTCAGTTGCTACCATTTTCCTCTTTAATTAATAGCTTTTCCTTTGATCGTTGATTTTCTAACATTGACTTCTTTTAGCTCATTGATGTTTAGCCTCATTTTCATAATATATTACTCAAGTCAGGAAATGCTCTATTTATATTATTACTTTTTTTTAAAACTATTTCTTTTGTGATTTCCTCATTAAACTTAGTTTTTCTGTGTGTGATTTTATTTTTCTAACTAGACGGGGTTTATCTTTTTTCCTGTATGGTTTCTACTAAAGGATATAATCATGATGGCTATACCAGGAAAAAAAATAGAATGCAAAAATTACACATAAGTATGATGTGTCAGTTTTATAAACTGTATGGATAGACTGAAATAATGAAGAAAATGTATTCGTAACTTTATTAAGCAATAATCTTTGAGTAGTAGTCGGGTCATAGGTGTGTTTTTAATATGAAACTTATGTTATTCATAATGCACATTTTTTAAATGGAGAAACCTACAGTAATTTTCAAAAGAAATCCTGTAAAAGTGTGATCACTCAACCATCAGCCAAATCATGTTCAGTTCAATTCAGATACTACGACAGGGCTTACTGTGTTGGACATTGGACACAGTTGGTGTGTGCACTGGTGAGACACCTCTTTTCCAAGAATACAGTGTGAGTACTCTATTGGAGTGAAGAGAAGGGATGGTGACACACACCCAGGTCATTTCAATGCCTTCAATAGGATGGAAAGAGCTCAAGCAGGTAGAGCAGGAGTTGTGCTTATTTACACAGAGCTAAGTTCTACTAGAACCAAGAACATAGCCCCAGCTTACAACTGGGTTCAGTTCTGAAGACACCTTCAGAAGTTAGATACCTCTTTTCCCCACCCCTCCCCTTTTTGGTTTTTCATCATTTTGATTTTTTTATTATTAGCATTTTGAACATACCAGCTGCTCTGAAGGAGAGAGATGAGGCTATCTATTACTATAAAGATTTACAGTCTGGGAAGCCTTATATAGGAATGATAAGAAAGGAGATTGACTCAATGGCAGTAGATTTGATTTTTGTTCCATTTAATTCAAAGATTCAGTCTTTGTCTCTGTGGGTTGGAAACATTATGTGTAAACTTACAGCTATGCCACCTGCAACATAGTACATGTTACTGACAAAAACCAACTTAACAGCAACCCTATGGGACAGACTAGAACTGTTACTCTGGATTTCCTAGACTGTAAATGTAAATCTTTGTGGAAGTAGACAGCCTCATGTGTCTCCTGCGGAGCCAGCCTGGTGGGTCTGAACTGCTTGAAAGTGTAGATACTCAACTCAAAACAATTGTAAGTTTAGGTGTACTTGAGGAGCATTACTAAAGTGGGTTTTTTTGGTTGTTGTTCTCTACTATTTTTTTTTAATTAGTTGTAGGTTTTAAGTATATATAGCTCTGAAGTAACCACAGTTTCTTTTTATAATGTGAAAGATACTAACAGGGAAAAAAATTCAAGCACCTCAATCTGTATAATAGGGTTAATACCTTGGCTCTCAAGTGAGGGAGGGGCCATTTTGCCCATTTAGGGGACATTTGGCAGTGCCTGGAGGCATTTTGGGGTCTCACCATTGGGATAAGCATGCTACCATTTTAGGCACCCTGGTTCTGCTAAACCTATTACAATGCACAAGATAGCCTGTCTTCGCACAATGAAGAATTTTCTGCCCAAATGTCAATAATGCTGAGTTGACAAATCCTGGGTTCATCTATAATTGGCACCCAATTTTATGGACAGTGTAGGTGGACTTGTATGTTGTTGAAGGAGCTAGAAGCTTGTTTTCTTTACCGTATTCTAACCTGGTTTTAGTTAAGGCTGTGGGTCATTTGAAAGCAGCTTCACTCAAAAAGGACTTGTGGCAGACAGTGTGATCAAAGTTGAGTGGTGGGCAACCTGGTCCTTAGGCACTCAGGGAAGATTTTACAACTGGTGGGTTATTTGTAATAGTTCTTTATATAGCACAGTAAATTGTTTTCTTGATTTAATTTGTGAATTTAACCTCTTCTTAGGAAGGATAGAATGTTATATAGTTTAATTTTCTGTCTTTCCCCCCACGACCAACAATACAAACTTTCAAAAACTTGTAATGGGTGTTGTAGTAGGATTTAATCATTTTACCCCAGATTTTACTTTAGGTGCTGTTTCTTAAGTGTTTAAAAGTGTTGGTATAACTCCCTAATGTGCATTTTTATATTGCATAAAAAGTAGTAATATAAATTAGCATGTAGGTCATATTCCATGGAGTGTGGATATGATAACTATTGCTCATCAAGGACAAAATGTAGATTGGTTTCTTACTTTGTTTCATTCAAACTTTAACCTTTTTCTTTGTTCCTTTGCTTTTAGATTTCGGCTCTCTATTTGACTTGGAGCATGACTTACCAGATGAATTAATCAACTCTACAGAATTGGGACTAACCAATGGTGGTGATATTAGTCAGCTTCAGACAAGTCTTGGCATGGTTCAAGATGCAGCCTCTAAACATAAACAGCTGTCAGAATTGCTGCGATCTGGTAGTTCCCCTAACCTCAATATGGGAGTTGGTGGCCCAGGCCAAGCCATGGCCAACCAGCCCCAACAGAATAGTCCTGGATTGGGTTTGATAAATAGCATGGTCAAAAGCCCAATGACACCAGCAGGCTTGACTTCTCCCAATATGGGAATGGGCACCGGTGGGCCCAATCAAGGTCCCACACAGCCTGCAACAGGTATGATGAACAGTCCAGTAAATCAGCCTGCCATGGGAATGAACACAGGGATGAATGCTGGCATGAATCCTGGAATGTTGGCTGCAGGCAATGGACAGGGGATGATGCCTAATCAAGTCATGAATGGTTCAATTGGAGGAGGCCGGGGGCGACCCAATATGCAGTACCCAAACCCACCAATGGGAAATGCTGGCAACCTACTGACTGAGCCACTGCAGCAGGGCTCTCCCCAGATGGGAGGACAAGCTGGATTGAGAGGCCCCCAGCCTCTTAAGGTAAGCACGGTTTTGATTTGTGTTGTATCCCCAGTATGCCTTTGAGTGCTCTAGTGATGGTGGGAGGGCCTAAGGCCAGTTGTTCCTGTACTCCTAACTGTTCAAGCTTCATCTTCTCATGTAGATCATTCCCCACATACTATAAGCCAAGGATCTACTTACTGTGTTGTCACAACCTTTAAAGAAACCTCACAACAATTTTAAGTAAAATAGTTACTTGACAACTGGCTAATGTTCTATACCTGCATAGATTGTTACAAATCATTGCCAGCTAATTCCTATTTCTATTAGCACAAGTACAGGAGTATTTTCATCTCACTACCAAGCCCAAGTTGACCTTCATAGATTGTTTTAAAAAATATGTTTGTGAAATAGCTGGTTTGACACAAGTCTCCAGAAACTCAAGTTCTCATTGATTGAGGTGCCCCTCGTCTTTAAGAGATTTATTTATCATAAGAGCTTTATTAGGTCCTCTTTCTATTATTAGGTAGAATTTAAGGTCTTCTCATTTACTACGAGATCATTCCATGTGTTCCAATTAACTAGATTTTAGTTATTGTTTGAAAAGTTTTCTTTTTAAAAAGCCCACTTATACAGCAAATACTAATGCGTTTTGAAATCATTAAAAATGTGCTCTTTGTAAATAATTAAAGCTTAATTATAATTCACATTTTGGTCCTTTCTCTATAGTTTGCCTATATATTCCTTTTTCTTAAAATGGTATCACACTTTAGTAGAGGGTGCCTTGCATGTAGTTGCTTAGTAAATACTTATTCAATGAAAGAGATGGTTTCACCAGGAAGGTGGTATTAGTGGTGGGCTGTAAAGATGGGCATGGTAAGATTTTTACATGGTATCAGAAACACGCGTTCCCTGAATTTGAGTGGCCATTTGGAATTCTGTGTTTCTGAGAATCTTGATGGTAGGAGCGAGCTCAAGGATGAATTTAAGACAAAGGAGAGAATTAGGGTTTGGGAAACTGAGAACACATGGCTATATGAAAGCCCTTAAACTATTTTTTTTGTTTGTTATTCATTAAAAAATACTGACTAAATGCTCAATACATCATAAAGGAGGAAAGGATTTTATTTCTTCTCCCTGCTCTGTAGAATTTCCTTCTCTGACACTTTTATGTTGCATTATGAGTATGGTTTATTTAGAAATTTGGAATGAAAGCCACTAAGATGGGGAAATGTTAAGTACCACTTGTAGGTTAAGAACAAAGCAGTGAAGAAGGGACAAACCTGTCCTTCTGATGGGTATATTGGGGGGGCGGGGGGCGGTGTGATAAGACAGTGCACAGTCATCAAGTGTTTACTAGACTTGACTGGGATTTTGTGTAGGGCCATTGATTACAATATGAGAACTCAAACCAAACTCGCTGCCATTGAGTTTATTCCGATTGATAGCAACCCTGTAGAATAATATGGAACCAAGTCCAGAGAGTTTCCAAGGCTGTGTAAGTTTTTACAGAAACAGACTGCCTCATCTTTCTCCCTTGGAGTAGCTGGTATTTTTGCTGCCCGTTTTCTTGTTAGTGTTTAACACATTGCTCTACTAGGGTTCCTATTAATTATAACAGCACCCTATAAATAGATTATTCCTATTATACAAGTGAAAAGAATAAAGATCCATGAGGATTATAGACAGAATTAGAGGTCCTGGCACTAGAACTCTTTCTGATTGAATAAGTCTATGCTAATCCCTGCAGTATAATATGATTCTATTGTTACATATATGTTGATACTAAAACCTGCTAGCTAAAAACAGGTACAGACTTTTCTTGCTTGCTGTAACTTGTGTATAGGGGATCATTGCTTGACTGAGACCTGTCGCAGGTCTGTTTCTGTAATGTTCACCGTGGCTCCAGAGCATCTCAGTCTATGATTGCCTTTCTCTTTGCCATATTGTAGGATCTGAGGGGAAGGGAAACAAATCTGTATCCCCATCCCTAGTTCTATCGTGTGCTGCCCGCATCCAGACATTCTCAGAACCAAAATGAGGATGCTTCCTGCCTGGTGAAATTGACTCTACAGTGATCAAACCCTGAACCTCATTCATCTGAGTATTGGCCTTCAGAGTAATTCCCTCTTTTTTTCTGGAGGAGGGAGGAGGCCTGATGCCACTTCAAAAGTTCTTTTAAAATGAATGGGAGGTGCAGGGGGAAGTGTCTTGGTTAGATAAGTAGGTAAGAAAGACAACTTATTAGGGGACCATTAAGTGTAAGGAGGGGGGAGTCGATTGGGAGGAGTCCCTCTTGGATGTTACATTCTGTGTGTGTAAATAGGAGAGTCTTATGCTCACTCTTCTCATTTGTATGGATATGAATTTGGGTCTGGTGTATCAGGTTAAGAGGAACAGGTCCCAGTAAGTGATTCAGCCCTAAATCAAGGGGATCGTATAGGAATAAAGGGAACAAATTGGAAAAATAACAAAGGATTTGGTGTCAATTCTGATAGATCACTTGTGTACTATTATATACCCACTGCTGCAGATAGCGCCTTGCATGTTTCCTGGGCACCCATACATAATGTGGACATTTTAAAGATCCAGTAGGTAGTTGGGAATGCCTGACTACAATCTAACTTTGTTTTTATTCTTTGATCAAACTCCATGTCCACATATATTGATTTGTATTATTGTGGTACTGGCATGCCTGAAGTCCTGCCAAGATTGTTGTCCCATGTTGAGTATTACTAAATTATATGTATGTCCAGTTTTGTAAAAAGGAAGAGCTGCCATCTCCTACAGACCCTGTTTGAAATTCTGTAGTGACTGCTAGGGCAGCTAATATTTGTTTTTGCAGCCTATAGCTGTTAGTAGCCTCTTGGTCATCACATTTTCCACTTAGGTGGATAATCTGTATCATTGTGGTCCAGGTAGGTGGCAGGTAGTTGAACATCAGGAGTGCGTTAGCTGTGGAGAAGAGAACAAGATCAAATAGCTAGTTAAACACCGCCTTGCAGAACTGAAGGACAATATCGTCCTTCCCTATCCTTTGTGATGTGGGAAGAGGCTTGGGTGGTGAAGGCATAGGGAGGTGCTTGTATTTTACTTTCTAACTCTGGCAGCAGAACTCTGAGGGAGACCGAAAAGCAAAAGTCTGAGAGTCTTTGTTGGTCAGTGACCAGAAATATCAGAATAACTTACTGCTAGCTTGACCAGCTATCAGCATAGTCAGTGTGTGGCAACATTTCTTTATGACAGAGGCCACACAGGTCAGAATGGGTTGAAATTCACTCATTATAAGTGAGACTGGGTCCATGTGGATAAACAGAAGTAATAGATTCTGTGCTTATTAACAGGGGCCATCAAGGCAGGTTCTAGCATTAATTTACTCAAATAATGTCTCTGTAAATGGCTTATATCTATTGGGCTTTTTATATTCTATTGTGAATTTTCATCGCATGTTGATTGATGGAAAGATCAGTTAGGTGAAATTATGTTAATTACTGCCAGGCAATATTTCAACTCATAGTGACCCCATGTGTTACATATAAAACCATAGGTTTTCTAAGCTGTATGCTTGATGGGAGCAGATTGCCAGATCTTTCTCCCATAGAGCTGTGGGGTGGGTATGAACCACCCACCTTCCAGCTAGCAGTGTGGGCTTACATATTAAAGGAACTAGTGCTTTAAAAGCATGTGACGACGTAACGCTTGCAGCCACATTAGAAACTGCCAAAAGCAGCTTGAACTTGAGGCCTGCCTGGTTCCCTAATTGTACTGGCCAGTTTCCACTTCATTGGAAATCCCAATCACTGGAGTTTGCATCATCAGTAAGGTTTTTACTCTGGATGCTTCCATCCAAGTGTGCCAGCCACCTTATTAGTCTGTTCCCCATTGCTTTGGAGGACTTGGGCAACTTGGTAATTACCCTGAGTCTCTAACAACTATCTGGAAAATGTAAATACTGTTTTAACTTTTTTATCATTTTCATTACAGAAATCTTTGATGAAAGTGTCAGAGATTGATAGAGATTTGGAGAGTACAAAGAATGTGCAAGATTGATAGAACTGAGTTTCATTTACTGTGTTATTCGATTTTTTTTTTTCTGTGGTGTTCAGGTTTAGGGTGTCTAAACTCTGAGAGTTCAAAGCAAGGTAAACTGTGGTTCTTGCCCTTTTGTACATGGTCTGGAAAGAAGAGACACAAATTTAAACATTGCCACCTTATAGCTTTGTGTAAGGATCTAGGAGAATGGAAAGATTCCCCAGATGCAGTAACATTGAAAATGGATTTTAAATGGTGGTGGTACTGCTGCAACTTCTCACTTGGAAGTGTCACCTTGCATCAAGCACACAACAACAAATGAAAATTAAAATAGCCTCAAAAGCAACAGCACATTTGTACTTGGAATTGTTGTGAGTCGATGTCAACTAGTGTTGGTTTTGCAAACCCAGCGCTTTTTTTTATCTGTATGGGTTAGCCTAAGTCATGAAGGAAAGGCAGTGTACCTCCACTTAGTTTTAGGGCAAAGGAAAAACTTATGGCACTTACTGGGAAGTCAAAAAAATACAGTTTCACTAGTAATGGGCTTGTGAGGTAGGAAGACCCTCTGGAAAGAGATCTTTTGAAGATGAAGGGGCCCTAGTAGTAATCATGCTTCTTCCTTAAGAATAAAAAGAGGTGACATCCCCTTACAGGAGGGTTGTGGGGACGAGACAAGCCAGTCAGTGTGCAGTGTAGCAACAATGAAACATACAATTTTCCTCTAGTTCCTAAATGCTTTCCCTCCCCACCCCCACACTATCACGATGCCAATTCTACCCTACAAATCCAGCTAGACCAGAAGATGTACATTGGTACAGATAGGAACTGGAAACAGGGAATCCAGGACAGATGAACCTTTCAGGAATAGTGGTGAGAGTGGCAATACCAGGAGGGTGAAGGGAAAGTAAGGGACAAAGTGGGGGGGGGACGACTGATCACAAGGGTCTACATATAACCCCCTCCCTGGGGAACAAACAACAGAAAAGTGGGTGAAGGGAGATGTCGGACAGTGTAAGACATGATAAAATAGTAATAATTTATAAATTATCAAGGGTTCATAAGGGAGGGGAAAAATGAGCTGATACCAAGGGCTCAAGTAGAAAGCACATGTTTTGAGAATGATGATGGCAATAAAAGTACAAATGTGCTTGACACCATGGATGTATGTATGGATTGTGATAAGAATTGTACGAGCCCCCAATAAAATGATTAGAAAGAAAACTTCGCCTGAGCACCTCACTAAGATATTATAAAATCTCTTTGATTCAAAAACTTCATGTTTACTATCAAGATGGAATAAGTGTATAAAATGTATCAAGCAAACAAAAAATATTTTGTTAATGGTACTATATTTAAGCCATATTTTAATGAAAATAATATAATTATACAAGGAGTCTTGATGAATAAATGGTTAAGCATTTTAAAAAAAGACGAGGAAACCTGTTCCACAGTCTACACTAGCAGTGATGAGGGAATTGAAGTAATACTATGACAATGGACATGAAAATATGGAAAGGATTTTAGGGGTGTTCATAAGATGTAGAATTTGATAGTCCCTTGACGGGATAGGATCTGGCAGACAGTGTAGGATGACTCCACTTATAGGAGCAGTAACCGAAGTGCTCTCATTTCCCCGCCTTAGTGTTTGTTGTTTTCAGTGGGTGGGTAATTGACTTTCTGTTGGGAGCCAATGAGAGAACAGAATTGGAAGGGGGTACTTCTAATTTTATATTTAGAGCATAAACTTGACCACTGTTTGAATTGTTCAAGTACTTAGAGTTGTGTTGTTTTTTAAGATTATAACAGTAAATTTCATTGTTATCAGGAAGAGCTAATGTCTCCAAGTGGACCTACATAAATAACAGTAGAAAAGAAACTGCTTTTAAAAGTGCCTGGAGGCTGTAAACTCAGATTGTTTTAAGGGTCCAGCAGGCTACTTACTAACTTAATGAATGTTGTTAGATGCTTTGAAGTCAGTTCCAACTCATAGTGACCCTATGAATGAAACCCCACCTGGTGCTTACTGTCCTCACAGTTGTTCACGCTTGAGCCCATTGTTGGAGCCACTGTGTCACTCCATCTTCTTAGGGCTCTTCTTTTTCCCTGCCCTCCATTTTACCAGTCCTTTTCTGAGGACTGGTCTCTTGATAATACAGTATGTCCAAAGTGCCTGAGACAAATATTGAAATCCTTGCTTCTAAGGAGCACCTCTTCTTCCAAGACATATTTTTTGGTTTCTTTTAGAAGTCCTTTGGTAGTCTTCACCAGCACCATCATTCAAATGCATCTGTTGTTCCATTTTCCTTATTTAGTGCCCAACTTTAACATGCGTGTAAAGCTACTGAAAATACCCTAGCTTGGATCAGGTGCACCTTAGTCCTCAAAGTGACATCCTTGCTCTTTAAGACTCTAAAGAGATCTTTAGATTTCATGAGTTGATGGTGGATTGAACCAAGATAAACTCCTTGTCAGCTTCATTCTTTTCTCTATTTATCATGATGTTGCCAATTGGTTGAGTAGTGGGGTTTTTCATTTTCTTCTAACTAATCGATAAGGAAGGCTGCAGTTTTTTATCTTCATCAGCAAGTGCTTCAAGTCCTCACTTCCAACAAGCTAGATTGTGTCTTCTGCATATCAAAGGTTGTTACGTTAGTAAGGCTTCCTCCAGTCCTGATGATACAGCCCTGACACACACCTTCCCTGATTTTAAACCATGCAGTTTCCTGTGTTCTGTTAGCAAAACTGCCTCTTGATCTCTACAAGTTCCACATGAACACAAGGTGTTCCTAGAATTCCCATTCTTCTCAAAGCTATTGATTGTTATGATCCACACAGACAAATGCCTTGGCATAGTCAATAAAGCACAAGTCAATAAACACATCTTTCAACCAAGATCCATTTGACACCACAGTGACATCCCTGTTCCATGTCCTTTTCTGAATCTGGCCTGGACCCCTGGCAGTTCCTGTCAGTGTAGTGCCTCACTGGTTGTTGAATGGTCGTCAGCAGTATTTTAGTTTCAGGTGGTATAATGATAGTGTGTAATCTGTACATTCTGTTGGGTCACTTTTCTTTGGAAGGTACAGATACATGTCTCTTTCAGCCAGTTAGTCAAGTAGTTTGAGTGCTTGCAGCGCTTCATCAGCTTGTTGGTTTCCGTTGGTATTCTGTTAATTCCTGGGGCCCTGATTTTGGCAAATAGCTTGCAGTGCAGCTTGGACAACTTCACTACCATTAGTTCTCGATCATATGCTTTCTATTGAATTGGTTAGTCTACCAACTCTTGGTACAGGGGCTGTTTTTTTTTTCTGTCTTGTTTTGATGCTTTGTGTTCAGTATTTTGCCCTTAGAGTCTTTCAATACTGTAATTTGAAGCATGAATTTTTTCAGTTTAAGATATGCTGAGCATGTTCTTGTTTGAATTCCTCACTCTAGGTTTTTCCACATTTCGTTAAAATTTATTTTGTCTTAAGCTGACCTTTGAACTTTTCTGCTTAGCTCTTTTTAGTTATTTCTTCCACATGCCTTAACTGCTGTAGTATTGTGAGCAAGTTTTGGAGTCTTTCTGACATTCATGCTGATCTTTTTCTTTCCTGTCTTTTTAATACCTTTTTGCTTTCTTCATGTCTCATGATCTTGGTGTCTTCCCCACAGCTCATCAGCTCTTCTGTCATTGGTATTCAATGCATCAAATCTGTACCTGAGATAGTCTTGAGACTCAGGTTACACAAACCACAAGGAATTAATTGAGAGGACTCTGGAGTTTGTATGTTTTTCTTGGTCTTTAAAAAACTTATTGGCTTCTCTATATAGAAAAATATATTAATCAAGGACAAAGAACAGAACATTAAAAGGAGCCAGCACAGTGATCATATAAACAGTGAAAGATCTCAATCTAAGAATAAAAGCAAACAATATTTAAAATCTCGGATAAATGGAAAGTGGGTGCAACAAGAGATCTAATGGAAAGGTGTTGTATTTCAGTTTAAGTGCAATTAAAAAGAATTTCTTTACAATGATCTTTCTGTCATATTGGGGCTGTTCACATTCCTCGTCTATGGGCAGTAGGGATTCACCAGGGACTCAATCTATGTAGATACCTTGCAAACTGATTTTGGGCTTTCACTATCCAAAGTGTTTTGTAAACTAGTTGTTTAGAATTTAGGTACTGGCAACATTCCCTTCTCCAGGTTTGGATCTTATTGTTTATCATCCTTGGATCACACATGTTTGTGTATTTCTGTGTGGAATTAGCTGACATAGCTGCTATTTTGAGACAAGTCTTTAAGACCTTAAACACTGGTTTTCCTGAAAGCCGTGCTCCGTGTGATTTCTTCACCTAGCTTTGCTCTGGTGCTCTTATCTAAAGTGACCTCACAAGGGGGAGGCTACTGGACAGGGCCATTAGTCACAACAACTAATTATTCTTATATCGGGTTTATAATCAAGTAAAAGCTCAATCCATGGATGTAACTATAGTTTAAAAAGAGGATTTTTTAAAATTACTATTTATCAGCCAGTGCAATACAATATTCTTTATAGTAAACAGGTTTGATTCCCATCTCTGCCACTTACTGGCTGTGATCTTGGAGAAGTAACTTTAAACACATTGTGCCTTACTTTCCCTTGTTTTTTTACCACCCATAGAGCTATAAAGTTAATGACCTCGTACATAAATCAATGTTTAGACAAGTATTTAAATAAACATTGTGCTTTTTCATTGTCTTGGTGTATTAAGACGGAAAAAGGATTAATGCTGTCCTGGTAAGATGGGTGGTCAAACTTAATTGCTTTTCTGTTTCTTATGCTTAGATGGGAATGATAAGCAACCCAAATCCTTATGGTTCACCGTACACTCAGAATTCTGGCCAGCAGATTGCAGCTAGTGGCCTGGGTCTTCAGATTCAGACAAAGACTGTACTACCAAATAACTTATCTCCATTTGCGATGGACAAAAAGGCAGTTCCTGGTGGAGGAATGCCCAACATGGTGGGTAGTAATCTATTACAAACGTCTCTTGAAATTAACATGTTAAAAGTTTTAAGAAAACTACTTTAAAAGTTTTTTAAGAATGGTTTTATTTTCATGACTTCTCTCACATCCTTTAAATACACTAATAGGTGTAATGTACAGGACAACCCTTGTGAGCAAGGAAGTGGTTTTACTTGCTGTTTTGTTCAGGGATGGAACTTAACGAAATAGGAACAGGCTGTGTTTTATGGACGTGCCATCTAATAGATTTTGCTTGTGCATACTAAAGTAGGGTCAGGAAAATGGGACCTCTGGCAAAAGATCTCAACACTCCATGACCATTTCTATTGACTGTATCTGAGACCACCAGACAGTATAACTTTCTGCTCAAAAGGTTTTGGACTATTTGATTGAGGTTGGCTTCTGCTATGGAAAAATTCCAGATGCTGTGAACAAAGTGAAGCCATTTCCGGTCATGAGAAGTGATCTTACTTAACTTCAGAAAGACCTGTGCAATGATTTTTTTCCCTCTCACACAATGTAGTCTTATGTCACATGTTCATTGAATGCCCGCAAGTCCAGAAGCTGTACTGTAGACTGGAGATACAAAGATGACCAAAGCCTGACTTCCCTGTCACCAACAAGGACTTTGTTTATATACCTGCTTTCAAATTGGGAAAACTAAATTTCATTCTGTGTTTACAGAAACACTTTTGTTACCTACCAAAAAGCAACCTCTGGGTCTGCCAGGAAGCTCCCTGTTCATTAAAACCTAGTGTGAACATGCTCTTCACTCTTACTCCTGCTCTGCCACCAGAGTTCACTGTGTCCGTGTCTTTTCTCTCACTCACTTTGCCTACTTTGATCATATCACTTGGTAATTAACTTGCTTTCTCATTTGATTGCCCTTCTTGAGGATGGGAGTCATACGTTATTGAATCGTATCAAAAAAACAAGTGGCAGGTGTCATGCAGTATAGTACCATAATGGTTTTAATAGAAAATGTCTAAGTCCCTGTTTTATTTAAAGCGCTAGCAAACCGTGACATCTAACATTAAATGTGTCTTTACTGTTGTGTCCCTAAGGGTCAGCAGCAGGCCCCACAGGTCCAGCAGCCAGGTCTGGTGACTCCAGTCGCCCATGGGATGGGTTCTGGAGCACACACAGCTGATCCGGAGAAGCGAAAGCTCATCCAGCAGCAGCTGGTTCTTCTTTTGCACGCTCACAAGTGCCAGCGCCGGGAGCAGGCCAATGGGGAAATGAGGCCATGCAACCTTCCCCACTGTCGCACCATGAAGAATGTCCTCAACCACATGACCCACTGTCAGTCAGGCAAGTCCTGCCAAGGTGAGTGGACCCCAAACGGCCGATGTGTTAGGCAGTTAGTGTTTCTAGGTACAAATGCAGTCAAGGTATTTGAGCCCATTTTGAAATCTTTTGATAGGATCTTAGTCGCCATTATTATTGTTAGTTGCTTTCAGGTCAGTTTCAACCAAGAGACCCTGCTATAATAAGCCTCTTATTATCTCACAGTCATCACTATCTTTGAGCCCATTGTGTCAGTCCATCTCATTGAGGGTCTTCCACTTTTTTGCTAACCCTCTACTTTACCAAGCATGATGTTCTTTATCCTTGCACTGGCACTGTGTGCCCTTCACTCCCCGTACTTATGTGCAAAGTACATGCCATATATACTTGAGTGTAAGCCGAGTTTTCCAGCACATTTTTAAATGCAGTTTTTATGGTAAAATTAGGTGCCTTGGCAGATATTCAGGTCGGATTATACTCGAGTATGTATGGTAAGTAAGCAATCTTTTCCCCATGGAGCAGCTGGTGAGTTTGAATTACTGAACTCAGAGTTAGCAGGTCAGTGTATAATCCACTATGTCACCTGGGCAACTTACAGTTAAGATAAAAAACAAACTGACTACCATTGAATCTATACCGGCTTTTAAAAAAAAAAAAAATCTATACTGGCTTATCTCAACCCTGTAAGACAGGGTAGAACTACCCCTTGGATTTTCAAGACTGTTTACTGGAGTAGAAAGCTTCATCACCTAATTTCTGTACAAAGTATTTATAAATCTTTAGTGAAAAAACAAATAATTTCTACTTTCCTTACTCCTGAAACCAAGAAAAGGCCATGAGGTTTCCAGGGTTCTAAGTCTGGATTTCTTTTTTTGTTGTTGTTGACCCAAGCTATATAAATGTGTAAAAGCAGAATGTCATTTGGGGGGTAAAGGTACATCTGCTCCAAACCCTGGTATTTTCAGTAACCTAACAACCATGTGGAAGTTGGACAGGGAATAAGGAAGGCAAAAGAATAATTGATTTCTTTGAATTAGGGTGTTGATGTAGAATATTGAGTAGTGGTATGGACTGCCAGAACAAATATATCTGTGTTGGAAGAAGTACAGCCAAGAATACTCTTTAGAAGCAAGGATGGTGAGATTATATTTCACATACTTTGGACATACTATCAGGAGAGACATTTCCCTGAAGTAGCACATCATGCTTGGTCTAGGAGAGGATCCATGGAAGACAGCAACAGCTGTGAGGATAACGCAGCAATAGGCAGTGTTTTGTTCTGTTGTACATAGGGTTGCTGACTTAGCAGTCATGTATAGCACCTAATGCCAATAGCAAGCCTACTTTATTTTTTAAAGTTTATTGACTTGTAATACTTTTATATTTCCCTAAATGACAAAGTTAATACTGCTTTTATATTTACAATCATTACAAATCTTTATCAACATGTATAGTTATACTGGATTATTTTGTTTTTTTACTTAGAGTACAGCATATTTTTGTGCTTATAAAAGTATGCGCCCATCATAGCTGTATGAGTTCTCACATATTCTTTTCGCCATTTTTGCCTCGTTTTCACTCAAATGTTAATAGGAGCTATCCTAGAGAGTTATAATGAAGATCCATTGAATGCATGCATTTGTTAAGTATTCAAGTATTGGTTATTATTAATATTCACTATTCATGTAAAAAACAAGCTGCACTTTTGTTCTCTCCAGTGGCACATTGTGCATCTTCTCGACAAATCATTTCACACTGGAAGAATTGTACACGGCATGATTGTCCTGTGTGTCTCCCTCTTAAAAATGCCGGGGATAAGAGAAACCAACAGTGTAAGTGATAGAATCTTTGGAGGATTTCTGCCAGAATTGTTTTTGGGGGGTATTCATCAGTGATTATTTTGTTAAATGAAATTTCTTGTGGTTGCCACGGGTTATTTTCCTTTTAGCTTTTCTAGTTCCCATTTCTCATATTAATGCTTGGAATTTCACTATTTCTGGCTGAAAGAAGATTCATGGCCTTTTACTATTGATTCTTAGTAAAAAACCATAGTATCTCAGATGCTTTTTTTCTACTAAGCCACATTGAAAATGTTTAGGTTTTATATCTCTGCTGCCTCCCTCCAGTACTGCCACATTCCAATCAAAACAAAAAAATGGATGTGGAAGGTATTACATTGGCTATACTATTGGGAATGATTGATAGGTAAGATGTGCTTGTATCTATTCTGGATTCATATGTCCATATTCAGTGCTACTGTTGTACGAGAAAACTAGCTGACGGAGAGGTACAGTAATTTTTAGATTATATGACCACCTTTGGTTTGATTAAGTGATTTTAACAAGGTGGCTGGTTACTGGATGTAAAAATCATCATTTTTAGATCTATAGGAGAAGAAAGGTGGCCAAAAATATAATAAATAAATATTTTATTGCTAATTTGTTTTCATACAAAATTGCATGTGTTACTGAATGAAACACAAAACATTGATTAAATGCCAGAGATGCTGCTCTTAAAGGGACAAGGGGTCAGTTCTGCAATCGTGGTCAATCCCAATGAGGTTATTTAGGGGAAATGACAATGAGAACCTAAAATTCAACTGGAAAGACAAACTTGTGAGAATAACCAGGAAAACCTTTAACAAGAAGTTTCATAAGAGTTTTCCAAAAAAAAAAAGTTTTCCTCCAGTGAATTTAAAATAACAAAATTCACAAGGATATGTCTGTATGAGAGTACATAGGTGAGTTAAAGAGGATGGGGGGAGGGGATTGCCGTATATTCAGAAAGAACGTATTATCTGCAGAAGGCTGTAATTGAGACTAAAAAGCCATGTGAAAACCAGATAGATAAGCTAGTTTCTGTATGAATCTTATGATAAGAGATTTTAATGTTGCATTTTAAACAGGAAAACTGAAAATTCATTGCTTTTAGCACAGAGCAAATTACTGTTCTCTATCTATGACCTAGTTATATAGAAAATTAGAAATTATTAAAGAAAAATTGGTTTCTGTAATCCTGGGGAAAGAATAATGAAAGATTATTTTTAAAGTACAGCTGCACCACTTCCTTTGTAGAAACAAAGCATTAATCAGAGCTGAAAGATGAATTTGGAAGTATGCATATGTGTGTCGTGGAAAACAAATACTATTATTAGATTAAAAGAAATCTAAATATCAACTCGTGGAAAATAGGGGATGACCCCCAAAAACACACAACAAAGGTCTTTATAGAAAGAAATGAAATAAGGCATCTTTTCTCTCATCACCTTGACCAAAGTGACAGTAGTTGCTATTGTAAGTAATATGGACTTAATTGTTCATGGAAGCTTTGGTGTAGCTTTTTGTGGCAGTGAGCTGTTTTGACCAATCAGTTCTGCAACTACAAGTTTGCGGGGAGGAAACTGGGAGAAAAACATAACATGAACTAGATGTTTCATATTGATGTGACTTGGTTGTGATTTTTAAAAATGAAAACATTTTGATCTTTCTGTCATTGTCTTCAAGAGGTACACTCCCATTTATTTTGTATTCTAGCAATTTTGACTGGAGCAGCCGTTGGACTTGGAAATGCTGGTTCTCTAGGAGTGGGCCAACAGTCTACCCCTAGCCTAAGTACTGTCAGTCAAATTGACCCCAGCTCTATAGAACGAGCCTATGCAGCTCTTGGACTACCTTATCAAGTTAATCAGATGCCAGCACAAGCCCAGGTACAAGCAAAAAGCCAGCCCAACCAGCCGTCTGGGCAGTCTCCCCAAGGCATGCGACCCATGGGCAACATGAGTAAGTTTGTCTCCTCTTCCTAGTCAATATTAGACTGCTTGTGTTTCAGAGACTGCAGTCTCCAAATGCAAGCATTGCTCCCTCCATCATCTTGAGTTTTTTCTCTCTCTGCCTCTACTTTATTAATTTCTTTTTTGAAAATTTAAGAATCGCAAAATAAAAGGCCCCCTGCTATTGGTTTATATCCACCTTGGTCCTTATGAGGGAGCTCTAGCTCTGGTGTCATAGCAGTGCAAATCAACCAGGATGAAGCTATCTGCGCCTATTAAGATTTAAAGTCTCTGAACCCCAGAGGGGCAGGTCTACTCTATCCGATAGGGTCTCTGGGAGTTGGAATTAACTAGGTGGTAGTGGGGTTTTTGTTTTTTCATTTGATCCTTTTATGTAGATAATTGACTTTGTCATATACGTTATTTCACATTGTGAGCTTTCTTTTCTGTTCTCCCATTTATTAACTATTGACTAGTACTTTATAACAATGGCTTACTCAGACCTTTATGTTTATAGGTTTTTTGTTTTTTTTTTTACTGCATCAAAATACAAAGCAGAAATTTTCACCTTTGGTACTGTTTTTATTTAAAATGTATAGGGATGGGTATGATTATTGTCAATAAATATTTTCAAGCATTTGGCTGCAGTATTCTTTTAAAATAATATTTTGAATGTACATGTTTACATGGTGAAAATTTTCTCTTCTTTCAAGTTGTAGTCTGTGTATCTGAGATGCCATTGACTTAGTTGATGCCAACTCATAATGACCCTGTAAGACAGGGTAGAACTGCCCCTGTGAGTTTCCAAGGCCCTAACTTTATAGGAGAAGAAAGCTTCATCTTTGTCCCACAGAGTAGCTGATAGTGTCATACACTTTCATAACTTGCTCTTTAACAGTATATTGTGTTCATTTTTATTCGGTAAATGTCTGTCATTCTTAATCATGCCTGAAAGTCATCTTTCAAATGTCCTTAGATAGTACTTCACTACTAGCCAAAGGGTTGGCAGTTTGAACCCACTCAGAGGCACTTCAGGGGATAGGCCTGGCAATCTCCTTCCAAAAGGCCAGAACCTTGAAATCCCTATGGAGGAGTGCTGTTCTGTAGGATGTCAGCGTGAGTACATACCTAACTCCTCTCAGGCAACTCATAATAACAAATCGTACACTGTAAGATTTTCTCACAATTTACTAAATGCTTGGAAGAATAGATAAGCTTATTCCTCTAGTTGTCCTTGATTTTTGTTTTTTAATGGCTTGGATTAATTTTGCTCAATTTGTTAATTTTTACAAAAATTAAGCATTTAAGTTTTCTGATGTTTGCTTTCACTGGATACTTTCTTCCTGCCCTTTCCCACGTTGTGTTCTGTTGCTCTGGGTTTTTTTCACCCTCTCTACTTTAGGCATTTTTCTTTGATAACTAATACTGTGTCTTACAACTAAAGATTAGTTTTTAAGCACATTTGTGATACAGGCTGTAACATTTTAATGACCCTATTTTCATAAACAGTGCTTAACAAATCTGTTCTCTCAAAGTGTAAATTAAGAGTGAAATAGCAGTCCTTTTGAGCTTTACAAATTTTAATTTTAAATGCCAGAAAATAGCAAGGAGTTGTAAGTCAGGTTTTACAGTCACTGCTAAAGGCTGCCAACCAGCCCTTTGACTAGTAGTTAAGCGCGTGCCTTCCCCCCCTCCCACTCAGACTCCTGAAAGATGAATATTCCCTATTACTATGAATAACTTTGGTGTCTACTGTGGTCCTGAAGAGGCAGCAAAACAGCAGGAGTGTCCCCAAAGAAAAAGAATCCCTTTTCCAAAGAGGAGTCAGTCAGCAGTGGACCTAAGGAGGCTGCTAGCAGCTAGAATTAAAGTAGCACCAAGGGGGGGTGGGGGGTGGAGAGAGAGAGAGGAGTGTGTGTGTGTGTGTCAGTGTCAGTCAAAAACCAGCCCAAGAGGATTAGAATACACATTGCCTGACGTGATGCTCAACCCAGCTCAATAAAAATAAAACTTTTTAAAATAATGATAGAACTTCTAATACTATGCTAAAGAACAAGTTGTAAAACAGAATATGAACCATCACTGAGATATCTCAGACACAGACTATAACTTGAATAATGAGAGAATTTTTCATAACAGGGTGAGTGTGATGATTCCAGTGAGTTGTGTGTGCTAAGACACTTCAGTAGGAATGTTAGCATACCTTAGGTCCTTTGTTCCTATTTCTTGTTGCTCATTGTTTGGTCTGTTGGTTCCCTTACTAAAAATAGTGTTCTCCCTAAAAGTAGTTTTAACGACTCAGGGGCTTAGATAAGTTTCTGAATGCTTTCCCACAGTTTGTGCATTTCACTGTTTAATGACAAGCACTTTAAATATATTATGTGATTATTGAGTCACCAGTTTCTTTGAATTATTAGACCAGGAGGTGGGAGTCTTGTTTTCAGCTCTTCTGTCTTAAAAGTACAAGCATGGTACCGCTTAACATCCAGGGCGTCCTCTGTGAAAGAGAAAGGGATTTGGCTATTGTGTGAACACTGTATTAGAAACTTACAGGAACCCACTTCTGGTTGCCCATGAAAGTTCGATTTACTGCTAATGTCATTGTTGGGCATCTTTCATTTTTAAGGAGACAGCATTCATTAAAATTAATTGTTGAAGAAATAATGTATCTACCTATTCAAGATAACTAGGAGTACAGTACTCCTACGACTTGTCTATCAGTTTGTCATGCTCTGGCGTTTGCTGATACTGGAAGCGCTGTCTGGTATTTCACATGGAAGCAGAGTCATCCAAGGTGAACAGGGTTCGGTGGAGCTTCCAGACGAAGAAGGATTCGGGTCTCCACTTTTAAGGAAAGAGCTGCCACTGATCAGAACCAAGGGCCTAGAGGGTGAAAGGAAAACATTGTTGGGACAGTGCTGGCGACACTTGAATTCTGGCTTCAGAGGAACTGCTTTCTCAAAGTGGAGCCTCCCATAGTGGTGTGAGTCTAATAACGCCTATGGGGTTGGAGTCTTTGGGCTCTTCGTTTGCTGATAGGCACAATTCAAGGAAAAGTAGTTCCAAAAATCTAATGCTGAATGTGTGGAGTATGAATCTGGGAAAATGATCAGTGGTAAAAATTGAAATAGAACATGTAAAAATTGGCATAGGCATTAATGAGCAAAAATGGACTGGAATTGGCCGTTTTGAATGAGAGAAATCGTATGATTATGCCAGGAAAAAAACATGTTCAAGAGGAATGGTCTGACATTGCCAGAAAGATCCGGCTAAATCCATCATGACGTACAGTGCTGTGAAAGGATTATATCTCTCTGCCTTCAAGGAAATTCAGTCATCCAACTATTACGCAAATTTATTCTCCAACTATTAAAGCTAGTGATGAAGAAATGGAAGAATTCTACCAATGACTTCAGTTGGAAATTGATCAAACATACCATCAAGGTGTATTGATAATTATTGGTAACTGGAATGTGAAAGTTGGAAACAGGAAGGAATTGTAGTTGGACAATACAGCCTTGGTAATAGAAATGAAGCTGGAGATCGCGTAAAATTGTGCAAGACCAACGACTTGGCCATGGCAAAACAAGACAAAAAATCAAAAACACCCCTGGACTTCCACAGATGGGATACACAGAAATGAAATGGATTGCATCTGTGGGAAGACGTGCTGGAGAAGCTAAATATCAGCAGCTAAAACCAGACCAGGAATTGACTGCTGGAACCAGACCATCAATTACTCAGATGTAAGTAAGTTCAGGTTGAAGCTGAAGAAAATTAGAAACAATTCCATGAGAGCCAAAATGCGACCTTGAATCTATCTCATCTAAATTTTGAGAACATCAGAAGAATGTATTTGATGCATCAGACATTGATAGGAGGAGACCTATTAATTGTGGGAGAACATGATTCAAAAAGAAAGCAAAAGGTCATTAAAAAAAAAGAGAAAAAAGATGAAAATGCTTGTCAGAATAGACTGAAATTTGCTCTTAATTGTAGAGTTGTAGCTGAAACAAATGGAAGAAAAGATGAATTCAAAGAGACTTGAAAAAATTTCAGAGGGCAGCTTGAGAAAGGCAGTGTACAAGGAACTAGAATAAGAAAGAATAGGGTTAACACTGAGCATATCTGAAACAAAGAACTCAAAAAAGTCAAGCTTCAGGATGCAATTTTAGGCTATGAGCAAAATATCGAATGATTCAGGAAGCTTTCAGAGATAGAATACAGTCACTGTACCAAAAAGAACTAGTCAACACTCCATCCACCATTTCAGGAGGTAAAATATGAACAAGAACCAGTGGTGGTGAAGGAAGAAGGTCAAGCCACACTGCATGCATTAGTCAAAGATAAGGCTCCAGGAATTGAGGCAATACCAATTGAAATGTTTTAGCAAGCTGAAAGAAGCACTAGAAGCACTCGTCTACGTCAGGGAATTTGAAAGACAGTTGTTTGACCAACTGACTGAAAAAGCCGTATTTGTGTCCATTCCAAAGAAATATGACCCAAATAGAAAGTTCAAGCTATAGAGCAATATCATTGATATTGCAAGCAAGTAAAATTTTGCTGAAGAACATCCAACAATGATTGTAGTAATACTTAGGGAGGAGCGACCAGATGTTCAGGCTGGATTCAGAAGAGTATGTGAAACAAGGGCTATCATTGCTGGTGTCAAATGGATCTTGGCTTAAAGCAGAGAATGCCAAAAAGATGTTTACTTGTGCTTCATTGACTATGCAAAGGCATTTGATTATATGGAACATAATAAACTGGATATAGCCCTGGGAATTCCAGAACACGTCATTGTGCTTATGAGAAACTTGTACACGGATCAAGACGCAGTTGTGCAAACAGAAGAAGAGCATACCGCATGATTTAAAATCAGGAAAGGTGGTGTGTGTGTGTGTCTGTCTGTCTGTCTGTCTCTCGGGGTTGTATCATCTCACCATACTTGTTCAGTCCGTATGCTGAGGAAATCACCAGAGAAGCGGGTTATATGAAGAAAAATGTGGCATCAGGATTGAAGGAAGATTTATTAACCTGCAATATGCAGATGACAACCTTGCTTGCTGAAAATTAGGAGCTATTAAAGCACTTGATAAAAATCGAGGATTATAGCCTTCGGTATAGATTACAACTCAGTGTAAAGGTGGCCAAAATCTTCATAACTGGACCAATACATCAAGATAAATGGAGAAGCAATTGATCTATGTACTGTGATGAATTGTATGAGCCCCAATAAATTGATTAAAAATAATAATAATAAATAAAATAAAAGTGAAAAAATTTTTTAAAAAGATAAATGGGGAAGGTTGAAGTTGTCAAGGATTTTGTTACTTAGTCCACTGTCAGTGCTCATTGAGGCAGCAGTCAGGAGATCAAATGACACGTTGCATTGCATAAATCAGCTGCAGTGTATTAAAAAAGTATTAAAAAGCATCCAGGTGTTACTTTTAAGAACTGACTCATCATGGTGTTCTCAATTGCTTCATATGCATATGAAAGGTGGACATAGAATATAGAAAGTGCCATAGACTGCTAAAAGGACAAAACCACATGCTTTGGAAGAAGTACAGCTGGAGTGCTCCCTAAAGGCAAGGATGGCAAGACTTCGTCTGACAAACTTTTGGGCATGTTGTCAGGAGAGACCCTGGAGAAGGACATCGTGTTTGGTACAGTGGAAGGGACAGTACAACACACATTTTTAAGGATGGCACAGGACCGTGCAGTGTTTCCTTCTGTTGTGCATAGAGTTGGTTGCTGTGGGTTGGCGATGACTCGATGGCACCTAACAACAAGGGGTACTCAGTACAGAATCTTCGTCCAGTCCAGCCACGGCCTCTCACCCCACTCTAAAGGTCACCCGTCAAAGTTCCTTCACCCCTACTTAAGTCTGGGTGCTTTTGAAAGTGTAGCATAGTTAGAATCCTGTAACAATTTGTTTCTAGTTTTTGCTCCTTTTAACATAAATTGTTTATAAATGACTATAAAACAATTTATCAAAAGTGGAAATTGGTGAAACAATAAGCAGCATTTTTATTAACCTGCATTACTTTTGTTGTTGTCATTACCAACTATCAAATAATCCTCCGAATATTAGTTTACATGTGGATGAATTTTGACAAATGCTTTTCTTATATTCCTCTCAATGAGTACTTTGTATTCCAAAATGTAAGATGTATCCACAATTTAAGACATGGGAAATAAGTTTTGAGGTTTGCTTGAGCTGTGAGGTCAATTGGATATCTATGCTTTAGGATTTGTCGGGTTGTTAAAAGTATTGTGCATTTTTTCTCTGTTCTTTTTCTATTGGTTGTGAGCTCCCCCCCCCCCTACAGATTCACAAGGGGGATATATGTATATTATCTTTAAAATATTTCATTAGGCTATAAAACAGACTTCATAGCATTCAATAGTTGAATCACAAAGAACATGTTTATAGTTCCTTTTTCTGCCATTTTGGAATTGGTATTTAAAATATTCTATTTGAATTTTTAATCTAGATGCTAGTCCCATGGGAGTAAATGGAGGCGTAGGTGTTCAAACACCAAATCTACTTCCAGACTCTATGTTGCATTCAGCCATAAATTCTCAAAAGTAAGTTTTATCTTGGGTTATCCTTATGCCATATTTCCAGTGTTTGTTAAGATTCTGTTTGCATTTTTTATTTGCTTTGTACAATGTATAGTTTTCCCGAAAAATAAAGGAAAATGGACTGCTTGGGACCCTTCTTTAGGAAACCCACAGATGATTGCTGTAATTACCTGGGTTGGGGTAACCTACACTTTTCTAAACACAACCTGAATGAAGTTAGGAGGGTTGCTACTATTTAAAAATGTGTGCTCTGATTACCTCACAAGCTGTATTAGAGTGAGAGCTCACTTCTAATTTATAACCCACAAAACTCCATCCTCTTTGCAGATAGTACATGTTTCCATTTTTCGTTCACACAAGTATACGCATACTCAATTTTTAAGATCTGGTCATAATTTTTCACCAGCCTCCTCATAGTATAATTCATTGAAATAATCACCATCCATTTTTATTAAAAGGAGACCTTCATTATCCTGTCTCTTGTCATTAGACTTATGATTCCTTTTTTTTTTTTTAAGCCCAATGATGAATGAAAATGCCAGTGTGGCCTCTCTGGGTCCTATGCCAACAGCAGCTCAACCATCCAGTACTGGGATTCGGAAACAGTGGCATGAAGATATTACTCAGGATCTCCGAAATCATCTTGTTCACAAACTGTAAGATGTGGGCCTGTTTTATTCATGAAGAGTTAGGCAGTGAACATTCTTTAACTCTGCTATATACTTCCCCACTAGAGGAACCTTACTGATTGCTCTTAGAGCCTGGTTCTGGTGGGTGGCACTTCTGTTACTGTCTAACCCTTCTTATCACCTTGCCTTTCCACCTTTTCACCCTCTTTAATAGAAGTCTTTCTATAATACTTGAACAGTGTATGAAATATTATTTCTGCCTTGTGCCAGGCACATAATCATTGATGTTATTTTTGTTCGTTATTGTGCCGTTGCCTTTGTAAAAGTCATATTTTAGAAGGAAAATTAGAGATGAGCTTATTCCAATATAGTCAGTGGCAACATACATATTGTTATTGCTAGTAAAAATCTTACGATATTGATAAGTTGAATCAGGTCAGGTGGTGTGAACAGATGGTGAAAATACCTTTTGTGCTCTTGTGAAGAGGCGATGTGCAGCAGGCACCCTGCCTCAAAGGTGCTGCTTAGTTTAGTCAAAAGAGTTCTTGTCAATTAAAAGAGCAGTACAGAATGACAAAACATAAGATACGCAAGATCAGAAAGATAAAGAGGTTAAATGAAACTGATTCGTAGTTCTCCACCTTTTGAACATAATGCAGATTTGTTTTTGTTTTTATTTAAATATGGGGAAAATGGTGTTTCAATTCCCTTCCCCTTAATCGAGGGGTCACTTTTGTTCCATCCTTGTTACTGATTTGAAATCATGTGAGTAGCTTTTAACTTCTTAATTTATAATGTTTCCTTCTCAGATGATAGCACTACAAATGAAATTTGATAAGGAGAAAATTCAGCTTGAAATAAATAACTACAACAAACTTTCATTACATTTTATTTAGTGTTTAGAGAGAGAATAGGTTATTGGGGATTGATCATATGATTGCAAGTTTATTGTAAGGGTACAAAATTTCTACGAACTTAACCATTGGTTTCAACTTCTGTCCTCATCTGAAAATCAGTCTCCAATCATAAGGAAAACTACTGCCTATGGAGTTTGAAAGAATTGTTAGTAGAGAATGAAACACTTAATCTAGAACAGCTGCTCTCAACCTGTGGGTTGCAACCCCTTTGGGGATCGAACGACCTTTTCATAGGGGCTACCCGCTTCAAAACAATAGCAAAATTACAGTTACGAAGTAGCAACGAAAATATTTTTATGGTTAGAGGATCACCACAACATGGAAACTATTAAAGGGACACGGCATTAGGAAGGTTGAGAACCACTGATCAAGAAGAATCTGACTCCTCTAAAGTTCTACATCCTTTCGGATTTTGTAATGCTTATTAGGTTCTGTTTAACTTAGCTGAGCAACTTTTAGATTAGAAAGATTTTAAGATTGTTGCTGCTTGATGCTAGGACAAAGGCGTGGACTTCTTCATTTCAGTGTTAGCACAGAATAGGTTTTTGCTCTACATTTAGAATGATGGGAACCACAGTACTTTCTTTGTCTTTTTTTTTTTTTAATCATTTTATTACGGGCTCATTACAACTCTTATCACAATCCATACATTCATCAGTTGTGTAAAGCACATTTGTACATTTATTGCCCTCATCATTCTCAAAACATTT